CTACCGTTCCCACGCTGAGTGTTTTGCCGCACGGTTCACTTAACCCGGGGCCGTGGCATTATTCCAGACAGCTCGCGTCTTCTTCTGATATCCAAACGGATCTTCGGTAGTTTAATTCTCTCTGGTAGCTGCTTATGGGTTATGCGTAGGTGAGGCAAGGCAATTGCTTCTAGGAACATTAATTCCTGCATTGAAATAAGCGAAGATACTTGATTTTCTTTGCTATTACCGAAAGTAATTTTCATGGTCACAGATCCATTACTGAAAATACATTTCTTTGACACAGGTTTGACACAGGTCCAAATGGAGATACCTGAATATATCTTTAATATATAAACATATCAATTAAGATCCTCAATTGTGGACTCATTCTATCTGGTAGCTGCTCATAGGTTATGCGTAGGTGAGGCAAGGCAATTGCTTGTAGGTTTAACTCGGAACATTAATTCCTGCATTCAAATAACTAGCCAAGGATACTTGATTTTCTTTGGCTTTGCTATTACTGCAAAATACATTTAATTGACACAGGTTCAACAGGTCCAACAGGTAATACTTCAATATATGAAGAAATAAATTAAGATCCTTGATTATGAACTCATTTTCTGTCACTGATTTAAAGCAACAATGCTTCCTTGAAGACATATTCAGGACATCCGAACAATTTTGTGTGTAGGAAAGTGCAAATACATGGCTGGGGTCCGTTTGGACTGATTTAAAGCAACAATGCTTCCTTGAAGACATTTAACCCGGGGCCGTGGCATAATTCCAGACAGCTCGCGTCTTCTTTTGATATCAGAACGGATCTTCGGTAGTTTAATTCTCTCTGGTAGCTGCTCATAGGTTATGCATAGGTGAGGCAAGGCAATTGCTTCTAGGTTTAACTCGGAATATTAATTACTGCATTGAAATAAGCGACGATACTTGATTTTCTTTGCTATTACCGAAAGTAATTTTCATGGTCACAGATCCATTACTGAAAATACATTTCTTTGACACAGGTTTGACACAGGTCCAAATGGAGATACCTGAATATATCTTTAATATATAAACATATCAATTAAGATCCTCAATTGTGGACTCATTCTCTCTGTTAGCTGCTCATAGGTTATGCGTAGGTGAGGGAAGGCAATTGCTTTTAGGTTTAGCTCGGAACATTAATTTTCCTGCATTCGAATAACCAAGGATACTTAATTTTCTTTGCTATTACTGCAAAATACATTTCATAGTCACAGGTCCAACAGGTCCAACTGGAGATACTTGAAAATCTTTTATAGAAACATTTCAATTAAGAGCCTCGGTATTATGGACTCATTCTGTCACTGATTAAAGATTAAAGATGGCGGATGCTATGCTATGCGAAGCGTCTGATTCTTTAGAGAATCTACAGTCACTAGATTTATTTTGTATTGTTCAATACCAGGATAGTGAGTATGAGTGAGTGAATATTCTACTTGTACAATTAGGTATGTTAGCAGCGACTGTTAAGAGCATAAAATGCACTGAAGTGAAAATTACTAGAAAGCAGACTAATTGGACGTTATCTGAGAACTATGACAGAAATTACATCCGTTGTCGCTCTAAATGTGCAACAATTCGATGAATTCTCCATGGTATTTATGTAATTTGTTGTGTTGGAGTGTTTTAATGACAATTTATTCGCAATTGTCACATTTGCTATGCATCAAACAAATTACGTATCTCATTCAACACACGCACATCTGTATATAATGTTCTTGTAATTAAGTAGTAATTGCCTTCATTTACGATACCAATGCATCAATGATAACGCGCTAAGACTAATGTATAATCATTATCTTAAAACGAACATAAATTCATTGCTATGGGTACATATTCGCATATTATTCGTGGTATGGTTATCATTTAGTTTGTGGTATATCAAGGTGAAAAGAAATTCAGCATTCACAGTATACTTGAAGGCACCTGTTGATCTTCAATTAAAAACAACACTATTAGATATAAATTATCTTATTAATACAGAACCTCATTTCATTCTCATTTATTGCAAAACCTTTTAGAACTACTGGCTAATCTTCCAAGGCTCAAACACACACATTTAAATTGAAATAATTGCATGGCGCAAAAAATGCACAGTAAATACATTTAAAAGAACATACATCACAAAATCAACAATAAACACAAGTCAACATTGACAGTTGGAAGAGGTCAGGGGACTGGGTGACACTGTTTGGATAATAGTTCGGTTAAATATTGAATATAAATTATTTCAATACAGAAACGCAAACAGACACGCCAAAACACATCATATATGGAGTCGCAATTACATATCCCTTTCCAATAGCGTGGTTGCCTAGTATCTGACTTGCGCTAGAACAAAATAAAACGCGGATGTCCTCACTTGAACTTGACGCAAACAAGACTATTACCCGAAAAAAGGACGCAGCTGTGAGTAGAGGTTGTTGGCGAATGTCAAATGAATCGAATGGTTTGCAAACACCTGCATTCCTCTAATGGGTGCCATTTGGACGGCATCATCGCTTTTACACCTATTGGAGAAATAATGCAGCTCATTCTACTGCTTGCATGCAAACTGCACTGTATTACATTGGCCTTTCTGCTGTAACGAGAAAAACAATTACAGAAAATGCATGGTGGAATTATACCATGTCAATTTAAAAGCTTGGTTCTCTGATGCGCCTGCTACACGTTTGAAATACAAATGCTACAAAAATTGTCACAAAAATGTGACAGACTACTGATTTGCTAATTTATGAAGCAGATTAAACTAATTTTCAATTTAAAACCTTGGTTCTCTGATGCGCTCGCTTCACTTTTGAATTACATATACCACTCAGGTCCTAAACAGAACCCCAAATGCTACAACAATTGTCACAAAAATGTGACTATTGAATACTGGTTTGTTAATTTATGAAGTAATTTAAACTGTAATTTCCAACACAGGGGATTGGACGTACCCAAATTTTCGACTGTGCAACTTTAGTCTCTGTCAAGGAATGGGCAATTTTTTACAAAGACTGGTATGGTGTTGCACAGTCGAAAATTTCGGTAAGGCCAATCCCTTGTGTTGGAAATTGCAGTTTAAACTGCTTCATAATACTGACTTCTACCAACACAGATGAACTTTCAAGATAATTTATTAACTTACTGGAAATTGTTGGTCACCGTCTACGTCACTTCCTCTCCACATCCACGTGATCTCTTTCGGATCCGGGTCAGAGGCCACCTCGCACACCAGGCTAACGGAGTCTCCCCTGGTCACAGCCAGACTAGTGGGCTCGCCGAGTACGTCTGGTTTTCCTGGTATTGTATGGATCAAGAGAACACGTATTAAGCGCAAACAGTTTCTATGTCGATGAAGATTGGCCATCTAGGTAGAACATTACATCATGTATAATACATATTACGCAACTGGGGAAAGTCACTACATGTATCTTTTATCAGTGACTATTATTGCTAAGATTAGATTGTTGGACGGGGCCCAGCCGAGCTGTTTGCATGAACGAATAATAAACAATACATGTCATAAATATACACAAATAGAATATGGTCTTCTATAACTAAAGATCTAACAAAGTTAAATACATACATGGATGACTTCATCCTACGAACAGAATATATGTATGTGGCAAATTACGTACAGAATTTAAATCAGTGGTAACAATAAAGGTTTAATCATTCTCTAATATGTAGTCTCTAAGATCGAAACATTCTTTAATGTATTTTCCTATTTGAATACTATATTGGTTATCTCCCCAGAGAATGTAATAGAATTTTTCTATGGGATCTAATGTAATGAAATCGGTTACTAATTCTCAGGAATGATGAAAGATAGTCGACCCTATCATCACGCCATAACTACGTCAGTAAGCACGCGACATCTTTACCGATAACGTTGATGTACGTCTCCCTGATGGCGTCGGGGAAGCCCTGGCTGGACGCGATGCACTGGTAGTGCCCCTCCTCCCCGTACCCTACGCGCGAGAACCGCAGCGGGTTGTCGAAGTACAGCGGGGTGTCTTTCCTCCTCCAACGCACCTGGAACGAATGATTAAACTAGAAAGGTAACATTTGCAAAGCAAATGCATAATAATGTTTACTTTCACATATGGTCTGCTATGCCAATTCTTACTCAAGCACATTTCATGGTCAGACAGGAGTCTAAATCCCTCCTGCTATAAAACTGCAACATGATGTAACAAGATTCTATTGCAAACGGCATCATAGGTATAAGAGGTTTGTTGCAAATACATGCCCCAGGGCTATTGACAGGTACAAGCAATATGTATGAACTACGTCTAACATTATCATACATTCTACAGCATACGTGGCACTAGTTTTGCTGGGTTTTACTTCTTCTATTGAGGCAGTGGAAGACGAATTCACCAACTTCTTCTATTGTTATATCGACTCAACGATAGTAGCCATTAAGGTCGTATTTCTCTTTCTTTCTTTATTCAAGTTGCAACAGCAATACACGTGGAGCATTAGGCAGCAATTCGGTCGTATTTCGTAAAGAAATCTATATCATCCTTAACATAGTGAACGTTTTATTGCAATTTCTTGCCAGGAGGCTAATTGCAAGTTCATGTATCATGACAATAAAAATGACAGACAAAGGTTAACTAATTCTTTACATAGCAGAAGTACTGCTACATAGCAGAAGTACTGCTACAACAATTCATCTAAATCTAATACTCTTAATACATTAGGATGTTCGGCAACGAAAGTAATGTGTTAACCTTTCACTTTGGACTTGGGTTAAAACGCTGACGAAATACAAAAAAAAAAACGCCAACTGACGACACAAAAAAACTTTACCTTTTTATTTCATCCTATTTACTGTGGTGATAGATCTGGGCGGTGCTGAACTGGCCTCTGTCATGCGTGACAGGAACTTGTGGAGACAGTACATGGTGTCACCTGAATGATGAACTGAACTGATTTACTGTTACGGCACTTGGATGCTACAACATAGTGTGCTATTTATTCACCTTAGGGCTGGGGTTGCCGTCGGCCTCACACTGCACAGAGAAGTCCACCTTCTGGCCGAACAGGACGCTGACTTTCTCCTCAAAGGACGGTCGTATCGTCGGAGGATCTTTTGGGGTACAACAGTATCTTAGATTAAAGGCAACGCATGTACCTCCAGGTTTAATCATAGCACTATCAAACCTTCTTCTGAACAAGGCCACAAATTCTTGTTTCTTTCGAAATAAATCTTGTTTGTTTCATGGAACAAAATATATCTGATTTATTTCTAATGTACGGCCAGGTCATGAACCTTCAAGGTGCAATCAAGGCAAGGATGCACAACCTTCTGAACAAGGCCACAAATTCGTGGTATCTTCCAAAATCTTCCTTGTTACATTGCATGAAATACGTCTGATTTATTTCTAGTGCACGGCCAGATTAAGAATTTCCACTTTCTGTCGGCGCACAGATGGTACTGTAGCCACTCCCCCTCTAATTAATCCCATTCCCCCATCCCGTCTCCCTTCCCCCGGTCATTCGTGCTTCCACACCTAGCTTGTGTGGCAGCATTTTTTCTAGGCTCCTCTTGCTTCTTCTTCTGTTCTCGAGCGACTCCCGTTCATTCCCACTACGATGCCCAAGGCCAAGTCCAAGTCGCGCCGGAGCCCGCGTTCCTCCACACGGTCGTCTTCGACAGCTTCCGAGGCACTGGCCGGAGGGAGCAAACCCCGTCCTACGGAGGAAATCGACAGTTCTTCCTCCGATTCAGAGGATCCCACTCGCAAAGACAAGACACGCCGTGGCCCACCGCGCTTTCTGGACATTCCCCCTCCCTCCGACAAGAACCTGGAGCAGTCCCATCAAGCGCAGATCCTGGCCGCCATCACCCGCCTAGAAGAGCGACAATCGTCGGTGGATCTCAGGATACAATCTCTCCAATCCGAGATCCGTGCTACCAGCAACCCAACTTCCGCATCACCGGCCATTTCCTGGCGCCACGATTCCAACAAGTACAACCACAACTTTAACACTAAGATCCAGAGCCAACTCCAACAGGCGCGTGCGACCAAGTCAGCGGACGAAAGGACAAGATCCTGGACCAAGCTATAGGTGAGCTAACTTCCCGCAACAGGGACATACTTTTGGCCGACAAGGCTTCCTGGTCGGCCGTTAATATTTTCCACTCTAACAACGCCCTCCCTTTTGCCAACAAGGAGGAAGAGCAGCGGTGGCAAAAAGCAGTCGACGAGGACAGACGCCGGTACTCTAACAAACCCTCCTCTTCCTACAGGTCTAACAATAGACGCACCCCATACGACTC